AAGAGGCACCACACAAACCTCAGCACTTTGTCTTAGAACATTTTAATTTTGCATGCTTACTTGTGAAACACCCCCACCCCCGTCTTTATATATCTTTAACATGTTTGAGGATGGTTCTTACGATGCGGATATTGCCTGCTGTCTCCCAGCTCCTGAGTGCACATGCGAGCATAAATTTGCAGACGTTTAAAATTCACTTTTATTTTTAAATGTGCCGTTACTTGGAAATGATATGAACATTCAGGAGCTGATAGACATCAGGGCATCCAGTTGAAAAGTCCTCGATTATCAGGTCTCCGGTGGCCCTTCAACTCCAGGGGGTACAGGAGACAGCAGGCGGTCACAGATTTGTAATGGGGGCATTGGTTACAAAGAACTCCCGGCATGCAGTGCGGCACTGGAGATCGGTAGTGGTGAGGCCTGGCAGCTACCTTTGGCCGGCACAGAGAACTCCCAGCATGCAGTGTGGTGTTGGAGATCGGTAGTGGTGAGGACGGGCAGCTATCCGTACCCGCTACAGAGAGCTCCCAGCATGCAGTGCGGTGGTAATGAGTCAGGCTTACCTGTAATCTCCGGCGGTGCCGGTTCCCCTCTCTCCTTCCGCATAAGCTCTTTCATTTCAGGCACATAGAAGTCATCTTGTCGTGACAGAGGGCACATGAAGATGATTTTATCTCCCTTGTAGATCTCCACGTAGGGGTGAGCACACAGCTTCCTTTCCTGGAAGACAGAAGATTGAGCAGAGTTATCCCAACATGTAATGACATCTCCAGCTGAACGATCGGACTGTGGATTCTCCTCCCGCAGGGCGCCCTCCCTTCCCCCCACCTTGCTGGGCACTACAGAAATGCAGCACAACGCATTCCTGTGCTGAGTTCCCGGGTCTGTACACCCGCTGTGCCCATTATGAGGGGCTCCCACCATCCCTGTGCTGAGTTCCCGGGTCTGTACACCTGCTGTGCCCATTATGAGGAGCTCCCACCATCCCTGTGCTGAGTTTCCGGGTCTGTACACCCGCTGTGCCCATTATGAGGGGCTCCCACCATCCCTGTGCTGAGTTCCCGGGTCTGTACACCTGCTGTGCCCATTATGAGGAGCTCCCACCATCCCTGTGCTGAGTTCCCGGGTCTGTACACCCGCTGTGCCCATTATGAGGAGCTCCCACCATTCCTGAGCTGAGTTCCCGGGTCTGTACACCCGCTGTGCCCATTATGAGGGGCCCCCACCATCCCTGTGCTGAGTTCCCGGGTCTGCACACTTGCTCTGCCAATCACGAGGGGCTACCCGGAGGAGAGGAACACCACCAAGGTGACCTGCGTCACAGCCGGGATCTATGGTTGGTTAGCTTACCAGTGGACCCCTCAGGGGTCATAGGCCAGCAGGTTCCGTAGCCCACCAGACAGTACTTGAACATGAGTAAAATGACCCGTTACCTCTCCCCCATGCGACTCTAAACACATCAATTTGTATTAAATAACCACCTAAAATCCTGAATGATATTTGGGATTCTAGTGTGTAGTCCGTGTTCTGTACATGTATGAAAGCGAACGCTCACATGCTAGCGTTAATATTTTTTAGCCGATGAGCGGGACCACATAGGATCGGTGTTGTGGATTGCAGCGCGGCTTGGTATGGGGTCTCCTCCTCCCTCCCTGCTCCCCCTTATGGTCTAATTAGAGGCGGGAGCCCCGCGGTGATGCTCGAGCTGTGCCCAGGAGCGGCTGGCTCAGCCAGCTCATTAGAAGACCCCTTCCTCGCTCTCCCGCGGAGGGAGGGGGGACACCGCTGCGCCCACATAACAATACACACATTATAACTGCACAAGATGCAATCATAAGGGATTAGCACACCGGCTTTTCCTGAAGCTGCAGCTCATTCGCGGCAGCCGTCCGTCTCTCCCAAACCCCCCGGCGTGGCGACAAAAAACTAGGAACTGACAATCCAACCGGATCCGGCAATTTCATCCAAACACCGAGGTCAGAGAAGACCCCAAACACAGAAGAGTGGTCCAAGTGGTCCCTCCAGGCTGCCCTTCCTTTGACTAGAGGTCTAGGTTTGTCCTGAGAATGTTTAAATCCACTTGCAGCTATTAGACTCGTTACCTCTGCTGGAAGTCTGTTCCATCATCAACTACTCTTTCTGTGAAGTAATACTTTCTAAGGTTCATTTAGAACTTTCCTCCTGCTGGGGACCCTTCTAGTGATAATAAAGATCTATACAGAGGGATCAGGACCTCCTTCCTCTTGCTGGGGACCCCTCTAGTGATAATAAAGATCTATACAGAGGGATCAGGACCTCCTTCCTCCTGCTGGGGATCCCTCTAGTGATAATAAAGATCTATATAGAGGGATCAGGACCTCCTTCCTCCTGCTGGGGACCCCTCTAGTGATAATAAAGATCTATATAGAGGAATCAGGACCTCCTTCCTCCTGCTGGGGACCCCTCTAGTGATAGAGATCTACCTCCTTCCTCCTGCTGGAGACCCCTCTAGTGATAATAAAGATCTATATAGAGGGATCAGGACCTCCTTCCTCCTGCTGGGGATCCCTCTAGTGATAATAAAGATCTATATAGAGGGATCAGGACCTCCTTCCCCCTGCTGGGGACCCCTCTAGTGATAATAAAGATCTATATAGAGGGATCAGGACCTCCTTCCTCCTGCTGGGGATCCCTCTAGTGATAATAAAGATCTATATAGAGGGATCAGGACCTCCTTCCTCCTGCTGGGGACCCCTCTAGTGATAATAAAGATCTATATAGAGGGATCAGGACCTCCTTCCATTTTGTAATCATCTGAAATAAATCACTTCAATATATTTTCCGCTATAATTCTGGCCAACGCTATGGCTGCATTTATGACGTCAGCAGAGTATATCAGGAGAGGAGAGTCATAGAGAAAGGAGCAGAGTCCTCCAGCAGAGCAGAGTATATCAGGAGAGGAGAGTTATAGAGGAAGGAGCAGAGTCCTCCAGCAGAGCAGAGTATATCAGGAGAGGAGAGTTATAGAG